TTCCCAGCTTAAAAGCTGAACTGCTCTGCAGCAGGCTTCTGCAGGATTGGTGACAGTCTGAAGAGATAAGTCAATGATTTGATTCTGGTGTGTTGGAGTAGGGACACATCTGAGACATGCAGGACACTGGCCCTTGAAGACCAGGATTGGACACCCTGGTGTAGATGCACAAGTTTGCAGAATGAGGTGCAGAAGAGAGGACTATGATCAAATCTGGTGAACTATTTGAGAGTCCAAGATGTGCAAATGGAGATCAGGCATTTCTGTTTAAGCGGGTTTTGCTATTCTTTTTGATATTGGTGGAAAAGCTTTATTTCACACTGCCATTCCTCTTTCTATCTGTACCATGATAGACCAGTTTAAAACCACCTCCAGTACTCCTGGCCTTGCTTCCTTCCCAACTAGTCTCCTGTACACATATAATATATTCCTTCCTTCTCTCCATCATTTCTGCAAACTCTCTGCCTCTACCTGTCATTGTCCCTACATTCACAGTCCCTATTGTAACCTCTGAACTCCTACCTTTCCTTTTCTCGTGAAGTAATTTGAAGTAGTTTGTTTTTTAGTCATCCTGTGGACTCTGGTTGTGGTCGCATGTTTTGTTTTGTATCTTAGATTTTTTATGGATAAAAGTGCAGCTGGGTCCTCCACAAACATGAAGGTCGGAATGGCGTTATGCAAATAAACTCCCCTTGCTTTAATGAAGAACTTTATTAAGGTGAGATCTGCAATAAAGGGAAAGTTTACTGAAAGTTAAGCTTCTAAATTCTGTGGTCATTTATGGATGTCATTAAAAAAACAACAATTTAAATTCAGAAATGTGGGCTTTTTGAAGGGTATGTTTTATGAATTCCTACAGAAACGTTGTGCGATCGTATGAAAGCAAACAGGTGCCTTGTGTCTGTGCAGATAAGAGGGCCCCTGTTCAGCTAAAAGGAAAACGACCCACCAAGCCTTGAGTTTAATTAGACTCCAGTCTGAGTTATTAGAGCATGTCGGCCAACACACTGAGGACAGACATCCACATACATCTGACCTCGGTCACACCCGTCAAGTGTGTGTTGTAGGTTCATTTAGGCTTTTAATTTTTTATTTCACTTCAGAAACCTACATGATATTAAAACAGGTACCTTGTCACAACTAAAACTGTGATGACAAGACCTGCCATAACCACACTGACAAGATGTAGAGGAATGAGCAGCCGAACCACGTGTTCTGCTTTCACCACTGTGGATTATTGAGGTATTATCCTGGAAAAATAGTTGCTTGATGCTGAGAAGGTTGCAAAGAGATCTGTGACAGTAATCATCAAAAACCCTCTTCATTGTTTCTTTCTTCTCATCACAAAAACATCTCAGGAATGACCTTTGGCCGTCCATCTCCCCGAACCCCTTCCTGACATTTTATGGCGACCATTCGAGTGCGCCTGGGCCATAACCGCCACAGCCACCGCACCCCACCCCACCTCATGCCACCTTTATCTGCACCAAGGAGGAGCTGTGACATTCTGACAGTGTTGTGGCAACATCATGAGAACGTTATGGTTGAAAGATCTGTTGTCGTTGCCACTCAGTCAGCTTGAGCTTGAGGCACGAAAACTTATCCTAAAGTTTGTTGACAAAGGCCATATTTTGGAGACATTGGACACAAGCTTTTCAAAGGATCTCCAAACAGAATGCTTTCATGTTCCTGATTAAATACGAGGAATATATTTAATAATTTATACACTAAGTAAACAAAGTAACTGTGCCTGCAGCTATTTGTAATCTCACTGTTATATGTTGAAAAGTACCCTTTTACTATCAGTTCTAATGATAAATCTTCTACTGAGGATCAAAAAATTCATAATAAGATCATGCAGAGTTGAGGTAAACATAATTAGATTTAAATAATTTGGCTTTACTTTTACTACATTTATCATTTTATGTTTTTAGTAAAATAGTTGTCTGTGGTTCAAAAATTCAAGTCTGATAGACTCCACTTTGTTAGGATAGGAGATGTCTGGACATCTAGTCTCCTGATTTCTGAAGGTGTTCCTCAGGGTTCTCTCATTGGACCAGTTCTGTTCATCACTAAAATCAACAATATTACATCTGCATTATATAATTAAAATAGGCATCTTTACTCTGGCGACACAGCTCTGTTTTTTTTTTTTTTTTTGCTCAGACTATTCATACTTTAATTAAAAATCAAAAGGTTTGATTACATCTTCTTTAAAACACACCTCAGTTATTTGAAAATGATTTAAACTGTCAGAACACTAACTTAGTGAGAAATTAGGTATTATTTTTAGAAACAAGTCCAGATTTGTTTTTTGTTTTTTAAAGTAAAAGAATTAGAACAGCACAGTTGTTGTTAACAGCAGAGCAGCCTAAAACTCCTAGGTGCTGAAAATACCCCACTGCTTAGAGGTTCATCACTACAGATAACTATATAACACCCCCTCTGCATCTATCGGACCTGCTTTCTTAGATTGCTGGAAACTTTTCTACACTAGATTGATTATGCTGCAAAAACATTAAACTGATGTAACTAATTTCCTTCATCTTGACTTTAGTTTTAATCACCAGTCTTATGAGTTTAAACTGACATTGATGTTGATCTAGTTAGTCCTGGTTTGGTTTATTTTGGTTCTCACATTTGACTCCTGTTCTTTTTCAACAGGTTTCCAGAGGAATAAATGATATTGAACAAGTAATCTAATATTCAGTTATGACTTTGGTTCAGAAGCAGAATAAAAACAAGACATTTTCTTTGTTTTAATGCACATTATAAGGTTAATGGGTTTTTTTCTTCTACCCTTTCTTCTCGCTAAGGAATCGAAAATCGAAAGATTTACTTTCACAAGAGGAGCATTACAGCTAACGCTTCAAAGCTCTACTTGATATTTATAAAAAGAAACTTTATTAGACACTGCTTTGGGATTATTTCAGTTATTACAGACACGGAGACAGAAATGAAAAGGAAAAAAAAAGAAGCACGAAAGAGAGAAAGGGGGGCAAAAAGGAAAAGGGGAGAGAAGGAGAATAGAATGGAGGAAAGAAAGAAGGATGAAGAGAATACAAGATAACACCCTGCTTGCTTCTACACCTGGAGAGAAACGTTCATATTACCAGGTTTTTTACCAAAAAGTGCACGGTACTTATCAATGCAAGATGTATTAAGTGGCAACATATAGAACATTTGTGTAACTGTTAACACCTGAATCTAAACACTTGTGGGTCTGAGTGTGAGCGCGCTTGTGTGTACAAGGTTTCTCCATAAAAATATGCAATAGTGAGTGTGAGGAGCCACAGACCTGCCCCCTGGACAGATACGAAGGAGATCCAAGCCACAGACATCCAAAGGCCCCCCAGAGCGAAGGAACCCCAGGAGAACCATTGCCGGAACTACTGCAACCCCCCAGAGAAGAGCAGGGGAGAGTCCCAGGGGATCCACCCAGCAGCCACAGTGCAGAAACCCCAGGGAGCTGCAGCGACAAGCCCACAGGCCCCGCCGGCAGCCGTCTATGCCTGAGCAGATCCAGCCATGGACCCAGATACTCAAGACCCCGGGACATATCACTCCCCAAGCAGAAGCCAGACAGAGCCCAGGGCTCCAGGCTCCGGCAAGCAGCCACCGGGAGTGAGCCAGCACACACCAAAGCACCCAGCCCTGGATACCGAGAACCACAAGTACACCGGTGGGCAGAGAGACCAACCACCAGCAGGTAGTGTGGCGGGGAGGGAATAGGCCCCACATTTGATGGAGGGCCTAAACTGATCTGGGAGAGGGAGCAGCCCAAAACCCAACTTGACAGAAAAAAACAGGCACACACAGTCACAATCACACACTCCCACCCTCATGTGTACACTTAAAATTACTCACACCCACGCACCCAACATAAAGACAAACAACAATGGACGTTGCACACTCACTCACACTCCCCATACATACTCTATAATCCCAGGTCCAGGTGCTGATACCCCATATGGACAACCAGCCCCCGGACCCAGGAGGTGGTCCCCTTCCCTCCAGGGGTGGAGACAGGCAGACCGCCCCAGCACCTGGGACCTGAACCTGGTCCGGGCTAGCCTGGGCTCTTGCCTGAACCTGAGCGACTCCGGCCGGTACCACGATCCCCCGCCCCGACCCCAGTCCCTAATGACCCCCATCCTCATCTGGAGAGGGGGGGTCTTCATGGTCAAACCAGCCTGCCAACCAGAGCTGCTACAGAATAAAATAGTCTCAACCCCCCAATGAATTCTGATCCCAACCCCATGAGCCCCCCCCCAATGAACCCCGACCCGAATTTCCCCACAGGGCCACCCCCAACCAGGACACAGATAACGAACACATGCCCCCGAACCCAAATGCCATGAATTCCCTCCCCACAGCACATGGGCACACCCCCACAGGTGAGCTTCATCCCTGAAAAGCGGACAAAGCAACACCCACACAGCGCAAGCTCCACACACAGCCCCACCCCAAGCATCCCCGCTGCGTCCCTCCCCCACCACACAGCACGCTGCGACAGCAAGGCAAGGGCCCCGTGCAACGCCACCCCGGCCCCCCGCCCACAGGCGCAACAGGGCAGACACCATTGAGCACCAAGCTCACAATGGAACACCTGACCCCACATCAAGATGGGACAAACTCAACCGGGAAGAGGTCCCCACCACACCCCCGCAACCACACAGACAAACCACATCACTGCCACTGCAACGATAGCAGGTAGAAACATTATCCAGCTCAGGTCTACTATTTGCCGCTCAGCCGATCCAGATGCCGGTGACCCCACATATCCAAGAAGAGGACACAACCCCCCCACCCCACACGCTGCAGCCCACCACACCACCCTCTAGCCCGCTGCCTCAATCCCCCCCCCCCAGACACAACAGTGTGTGTTCTTTTCATGATAACAAAAAATAGCTATTTTAGAGAAAAGATTTACTTTTTCTGTGAAATTGCATGAAATATATGTTAACTTAAAGGACAAGTACAGACTTTAGGCCCTTTCAAAATCAGTGGCAGGATTTGAACCCACACCTCCAAAGAGACTGGAGCCTAAATCTAGCACCTTAGACCACTCAGCCACACTACCAAGATCTGCAGAGAGCATGTTTTCTGACAGTATCCAACTCTATGGAGCTACTGAAGAACAGTGTCAGCCTTCATTGGCTGCTCAAAATAGGTTGTGAAAAATGGTACTGCTAAGGTTTTAGCAGGCATTGAACTTATTGCTTTATAGTGTATCTCATCCTAAAGCTTTTCAATGCAGAATACATGACAAAGTTTAGTCCTTTTCTTCAAATTAAATAAGAAAGTGAGTGCAATGGACAACTGCATGTACACTGTCAGATTAAGGCTTTATTCTGGGCTTGATCAGTGCTCCCTCTGGTTTACGTTAAAAGGCTTTTGATCAAGCAAATCCAAATAGGGCAGAGAGATGTCGAGATATTCTTGTGTTGAGTGGTTTGAAGTAACGTGAAAAATGTTTTACAATTGTTTATATCTTGCTTTCTTCTGTGTTTTCTTAAAGGCGATGAAACAATTCTGAGGCTGCACGGTGGTGCAGTTGGTAACACTGTTGCCTTGCAGCAAGAAAGTCCTGGGTTCAATCCCAGCCTCAGGTCTTTCTGCATTGAGTTTGCATGTTCTCCTGTTGAATGTGTGTGTTCTCTCTGTATACTCCAACTTTCCTCCACAGTACAAAAACATGATTGTTAGGTCAGTTGGCCTCTCTAAGTTGCTCTTGTGAGTGTGTATGGTGTTTTTTGTCTGTCTAGGGAGTACCCCGCCTTCCATCCAATGACCTCTGGAGACAGGCACAAGCCCCCATGCGGCCCTACAAGGACAATGAATGGAAATCATTTTTATATTGATTAATCATTCACGTTGCTTATCACTTTATGCCTTCGTTCTGTTCTGCATCCTTTCCTGTAACTGATGTGGACCTCCTGAGTGTTGTTGCGTTTCATGGATGAAGAAAAAGGGCGAGAGTTTAGAAGTCAAGACACTGACTGAGAAGGCTAATTGGGAGATGCTTTTAAAAGTCATTGAAGTGAAGTAAGGTACTTTACAACATGACGTAATCTGGCTTCATTTTCCCTTGAGACAAGCTGTATCAGCAGCAGCCACATGGCCAGAGGAAACACCACCCCCTCATGAAACAATGAGCCATGAATTTACAGTTCAGACCACAGGGGACTTCCTTTTTCAGAATATAATGCCCTTGAACCTGACAGTTATATACATAAAGATGAATAATACAGAGCAAAAATAACAGTTGTATTGTGAGCTAGTTTAACTCAGCAAACATTTTCTATTTTTATGCCTTTAATAGGTTTCATTGACTGAGGACTTTATAAAGCAGCATCTAAAACCTGCAGGACAGCAGTTCTTGATGACTAGACTTTTACACCCTTGCTCTACAGTTCACAGTACGTCAAATGTTAAAGCTCAAACCAGACAATTGACTGAAGAAGTAGCAGTACTGTTGTGATTCCTCTAAGACCATGTGAGATACTGATAAATCCAGAGAGAAAATGACTATTTTCAGGTTTGAGGAAAACATTTTTTGGGTTTTTTTAACATCTAACTACTAACTACTGTTTGGATCAAATGAGGGATGAGTAACAACACCATAACTTTTCATCAGTTGGGTCTGGATATTATATCCCAGCCAGATTAATCTAAGTGTAATCTACCCAAATGGGATCCGTTGGCCTGTACAAACACACTTATAGCCAGAGGTGGACAATCAAGGTCCAGAAAGTAAAAACCCTGCATAGTTTTCCTTCATCCTGTTCACTTAACCAGGTGATTAATCCCTGTCTATGTCATGGAGATGGAAATGTAAATGGTTGGAACTAATCTCTGTACAGGCTTTTTACGTTTTGGACCTGGATTGTCCACCTCTGCTTATAGCACATTTTCCTCTGAGGTAAAATAAAAGATTAAGTACTTTAAATGACATTTTGATCATTTTCTGCCCATACTAATTTCATTCTGACGTTTACGGGCCTCGGTCAATTGGGAATGACCATTCGCTGTCATTCTCTTGTGCAAACACCACAGACATGCCTCTGGGGGGGGGGTGTTGCATGAGAACAGGCTTATCCTCCTTTCGAGTGCTTCTTCACCTTTGACATCTCACAGAGGGGATGAGATAAACACAAGGGGGGGACTTGTAAGCTTCACTGACTTTAAAAGAGAGACCTGGTTTGGGTTAAAACAGCAACTTTGTCTTCCTGCAGAGTCTTGATGAGATTAGGGCTCATCAGGAGGATGAAGGAGAAGTGGCAGCGTGTGATGCTCCATTTTCTCTACGCCAGCACAGGAAACATCAGTTTCTAAAACAATACGATCAGTACAAACTATAATGTGTCGTCACAAACCTTGATGTCAGAGTTCCTGATCAAATTTAAAATATATTTTCAAATCATCTTAATACACAAAAACAAAAATGTCTGCCTTGATTAAAATAACCTCACTGGTTAATTTCCATAGGATTCTTCTCAGTGCCCAACTGGGCCAGGAAAAACAATGGCCGGCTACAGCAGTGGCATAAAGAGAAGCGGGCACGACTGTTTTCCATTAGCCAGGATTTGAAAAGCGCAGTCATGCGGCTGAACACGTCAAAAGCCTCCTGTTCTTTACAAAGAAGTAGCAGCAGTTCAGATGGACTCAACCGACCCTGAGAGGGTCTTTCCTTTAGCAAGACAAAAACAGCAAAAAAAAAACTTGGACAAGCTTGTCGATTCAGGGTTTAAGGGGAAAATGCCCTTTTAGTGTGAGAAGGAGGGGAGACGCCTTCACGGGCTGCTGACTACGCTTTGGCAAGCGCCTCCGTAGCTTAGCCAGAGGGAAAAAAAAGACCATAGAGATAGAGGTACCTAAATGTGCACTCAGTTAGGCTGCAGGATCATTAGGATTCCTCAAGCACCCATTAGCATCATTCTCTTGAACTTAGATGGAAAACGCCACCCTTCCCCCTCCAGCTTTGCTTTGGTGAAGATGAGAGAAAAGAGAAAGACAGGATTTAAGGAACTTTTAAGAAATATTGGGTAGTGAATTTTATTTGTTGTGCGACAATTTGACATTAGAAGTCACCGGGGTCATCCAGTCGTAATGAGGCGCTCCCAGTCGGACCAAAGCAAAGGGTTTGCCCTGGCGCTCAACTCTCTTTGACTCATCGCCAACCGGTTTAGTTTGGTGGTAGTCGGACCAATCACACAGCGGCAGGTTGATTCATCTCTAGTGGATGGTAATCAACATGACAGGGTTGTACAGACAGTCCTGATTTGTGTGTGTGTGTGTTTATGGTTGTCTCTCTGTCTAACAGAATACAGTATGAGCTGTAGCAATAAAAGATCCAAATGTAGTAAGGATGCAAGCCAGGTTTCGTGCGAAGTGAATTTAATGATAAAAGCAAAACTTATAGAGACAAGGTCCGAAGTGGAAATAAAAAAATCCCAAAGCAGCAAAAGAACAGGAAGTCGAGGGGAATAATGCAACAAAACGAGCCGGACACAGAATGGGATTAACAACAGGGAGAACCTAGCAGGAATCTTAGCAGGAGTAAGTCGCAGAAAAATCTGGAAATGAACTGTGGAAACCAGAACACGTTTACCCTGGGAAACAGGTGGCTGATTACCAGCAGGCTGCAGCTGTGAGGAATCAGGAACTGGGGCAACTGAGGGAGACAAATAAGAACCTCAAACAAAGACAGACAGTGCCGGGCGGACAACTAACAGAACATAAAAACACAAGAAAAACAAAAATACAAAACTAACCAATAATATGCTTTCTGATGAGGCTCGTTTGTCAAATTAAACCTGTTTAAAATAACAACCTTTAAGCAGGTATAAAATGTACTTTGCTTTAAGCCCACATTTCTGTATTAAAAATGTTTTTCTTATTGGTCTGATGTAATATTCTGGTCTTAAATGTCGTGTTTTCATTAGCTGTAGGCAGAAAATCATCACAATTAACAGAAATAAAAAGCTTGTAAACATCAGTCTGTGTGGAATTAATCTACATAATGTGTTTCACTTAGAGGATTAAGTTATCGAAATAAATTAACTTCTAATGATATTCTAATTTATTGAATATGACTGTATATCACTGTGTTTATTACTGATTTAATGAGAGAAAACTGCCAGAAGTGTTAATAACTTCCTGCCGCTGCCTCAACCTTTTAAAAGTGAAGCAGCCATATTGGAATTTGACGTCGGGTTGGTGAAGAATCTCAAATTTTCAAACTTCCACTAGAACTTTTCCAGAACTCAGATGGTTCTAAGTCTGAGTACAGATGTAGTCAAATGCCTGAAGTACAGGAATAGTTATTATTATGTTCATTTTTGTCTGTCCCTGTTATTTGTGCATTTAATGTAATTGTAATAATTGATTCTGTGGCTTTTTAGGTATATCAGCAAAGTCTTAAAAAGAGATGTATGTCAGATTTAAAGATTACATAAGACACCAAGGTCACGTATGTATGACTTGGTGAAGAACCGCCGATTTTCCGAGTCTGAATTCTGACTTCAGTGGGCTTTAGAGATGATTGTTTCTACCTTCCTTAACATCGTGATGACCCCATCCATGACCCCACAGCATTAAAGTTGGAGACCCTCATACATCTTCATTTGTTATAGTGTAAAAATGTATATATTTTTCACTATTGTTATTTTTCATACAAACTCAATAATAATGATTGAATGCCTCGAAGTTTATTAAGTGTTTTATATAAATAAATTATCTTTATATTTGTAAGAGTACAAATATAGTTATCATATGTATCATATGTCAGCAACTCATTTGACTCCATTGGTTTGTTGTAATTTGACTAATTCTTCTTTTTTTTACCGGTGCTGAGGTTTTCATGCCATCTTGGATCCCGGGAGCCAGGGTTAAGAGCAGCTACATGCAGGGATGGCTGATTACCAAAGAGGGGGATGTGGACAATTAGTTTAAGTAATTTTTTATAATTTGTTAAGGATTGGTATTTGGTGTAAAGTCTTAATTAGTTCATTAAAAAAACCTAAATGTTCTGTTTGTTTCTTTTGTAGTTTGCAGTTGTCTTGTGTTTAGTTTCCACTA